AGAGCTCAGGATATTAAAGGGGAAGAAAGGTGGAGACTCTGAGGCAAATTGTCCGTAGATTCCTAAAGTCACGAATTATAACAGGCACATGGGCTGGATTTGGGGAGCGATATCTGTTAAATACTTACGAAGGAGCTTGGCTCAGGTGGAAGGAAAAAAAAAAAGGAGGTATCACGTAAGCAGAAGCTGCTGCGCTACAACACCTACCTGGTATTTTCTGTCATGTCCGATCCGCGCGAGGGGGTGCGTCAGTTGTAACTCCTAATTGTAGAAGCTACTTTTTTCGTGGTCGTACAAGCCAGGGCTTCTGTAGACTAGCCAGCTGTTTCAGATCAAAAGCACGATAACTGGAAAACCTTGTTCTTTTTCCTGTTTGGTGCCTCCCTGCAGGTTCACGGTTCTCAAGGAACGTTACGGGTAGATAATCAGAATCCCCTGGGGATTACGGAGCATGGGACTTCGGTATCCATATATTCACAGACCCAAGCTGATCGCTACAGAGATGCGCACAGGGAGCTCTTTCGACACTTTCTGAGAACCCTGAGAGGTGAGGCTGAAGCCCGTGTTAATGGCCGGTGTTGCTTTGGATTCGCTTTCAGTGAAAACTTCCCTGGGAAGCTGTTCCAACAGCAATCAAAATTTGGTGTTTGTGTCTGAAGAGTGAGTAGGTGTGAAAACTAGGAATGACGTTTGTCACGGTTAAGTTGAAGCCAGGGTTGTGCAGGTGAGGAGTGAGCTCCCCGTAACTGAACGTGGGGTTTCACGGGCTGAGCTGCCGCCCCAACAAGCGCCGGGGTTCTCGGCAGATGGTAAAAACACGCGTGGAGCAGTCAGCCTCCGAAGGAGCCGATGGCTCGACAGAGGTGCAAACAGCTGACCTTGTTCCAGTAAATGAAAACGAATCGCTTGGCTTCGTTGGGGGGTGTGCTGCTTTTCTCATTTCAAAGTCAGTGAGACGAGTGAGGGACAGAGTGTTGATCTGAAACTGTGTTCTGAGAAGAAATGGAAATCGGGGCAGGGAAATTCCGACAGACCTTACTGTCATTTGTGGAGGAAGCAGCCATTTGTAACAGCAAGGAGAGCCTTCTCTAGAGTCCTAGCTGCCCAGAAGGAATAAAATATTTCTGTTCTGCTGGCCGCATTGACAAAACTCCGGGATTGTAGTTGCAGGGCAGGAAGGAAAGGGAAAAGAAAGTTTCTTTTTGAAATCTGAGGCCCCAGCTCTGGGAGCTGAGGAGGGATACCGCGGTGGGCAGCGATGTGCCGAAAGGTGGAGCGGGTCGATACCGTGCGTTTCATCCAGCGCTTCGTTCCTGTCCCTGCAGGCAAGGAACCCCCCGCGATAACCAAAGAGCAGTTTCTCTGGACGATTCAGGTCGCTGCAGCTGCTGAACAGTCCTGGAGAAACGGATCCGCTGTTGACTTGCGTAGCGCGGCAATGGATTCATCTGTGATCAAGACTGAGATAATGTGATAGGTGCCGAAGGATAACCGTCAAACTGTGCTGCAGCGAGGCCGTGCTGCGCAGTGAGGTCTCCACTGTAACCTTCAAATAAGACTTGCAGTTTTGACATTTCGGCCGGGAATGCCTGGAAGACAAAGGCACTTTCGAAGCAGAAGCGCTCAACGCTGACGCTGCAGATGTTTCTTAGCGCATCAGCCAGAGCCCCCGAGAAATCCGGGCAGTTCCATGCAGGCAGCTTTTCCTTCTGCAGAGCTCTGCTGGCCAAGGAGCTCTATTTTCCTGGGAGAGGAAAATGATGCTCCCGGGGCCGTGGCAAGGTGGCGTGGAGCACCAGCAGCCACGATGGGACCGGCGCACATGGACAGCTCTCCTGGCAGCTTCACAAGCGAAATGGCATAATGCTCCGAAACGACACGGGAGCATCCGTCTGGTCTCTGCTCCTTCCCCTTCAGCATATGCGGGAACACGACTTCTGTGCTGAACTCGCCTCTGGGCCTCCTATTTATTGTTTGGTTTGCTGGTCTTACAGGGTTTTCTAAATCTTTTTGACAAGAAGAAGTTAGAATCTGATCTTCTTGGGCGGTGGGGAGAAGAACTGAAGAAGCAGGGAGGGAGACCGCTGACCGACCCGACGTTAGGGATGGGAGACTTCCTAGTAAGGCCAGAAATTGAGGCTGTTCCATAGAGGAGCTCAGCCATTTCAGTGATAAACGCTGCGTTATTACAGGGTTTTTCCGGAATGTGACCTGTGAATTTGTACAGGGGCCCTGCACAAGATCCATTGCTGAGCCCGCGGCTGCTGGGCGCTGCCTGGATTCCAGACACGGCAGCTGTCTGCAGACCGTTGTTCTTCCTTAAAAGCAAATGTTGTATCTTAACATTTTGGTAGCAAAATTGAACTAATAATCACGTCCTTTGAGTCTAGGAAAGGCATCTGATTACCTTTTTTAAAGGTGGGTTTTTTTACAGTCCAGCAGGTTTGGAATATACGCCAGAGAGGAAGATAGTGCCTTCAGCAACAGGCCAGTCCGCTTTTAAACCAGGTTCTTTGTACCTTTTCCTTCTTGCGTTGAGCTTATCGCAGCTGTAGAGATTTTACTAATCCTGTCTACTTCTCACATGCTGGTTTTCAAGATCTTTTGAAAGCTTTTTTTATTGTATTAAAATAATGTTCTTGCCTTGAGTGTTATTTTATGAACGACACTTCTCGCAAGATTCCTTAGTTCAATCAATTTCCCATTCCTACGTATGGGATATATATTACTAAAACTAGGAATAGCAGTGATGTTTATAATGAAAGAGAATTCTCTCATGGAAATATTGTTTTTAACGGTGTAATCTTTCAAACTGAGAAAAGGTACGTCTTAATGATAAAGATTGCTATTGATTTAATTGTCTATCTTCTAGTCATTTATTGGGGGGGAAAAAAAAGTTTTACCTATGAAGCAGTAGACATTTGCCTCTCTGTAAGCAATTCCTTACTAGCAAGTGAGTTTCCTTTCATTTTGGGGGGCCTGGCTCTGTGCCGGTGTGACTTCTGCGGGGTCTGGGGCGTCGGGAGCGCATGGAGGGAGCACCAAGAGCTTTTGGTGTCTCACACTTTAGAGCTTGCGCTGGTATAGGAGGATGCTTCCCGTACAATAGAAGCAAGACTTTAGTTGCCAGATGTTGTAATTCCCACGTGTGCTTTTATTGTGTTACAAAAAAAAAAAAAAAAAAAGAGAAACCACAGCTATAAAAATAACACATTTTCCAAAGATAACATTACAAAAAATACCATTCATACCATGGTTGGAGTGGATCAGTTAATACTGCTGGAAGAAGCCTCAGTAACATTGAAAACATGAATGATTGTTTCAAACCCTTTAAAGCATTAAAGTGCTTTAATTAGCCACGATCTTAGGACACAGGTTCACATTTCAGCAATGCCAGTGGCGGTGGGTTCCTCATCGGCGTGGCGGGCGCGATGGCCTCGGACGGTGCCTCGCCCCGGGAGGCAGAGCAGAGCCCGTCGCCGAGGGAGAGGAGGCCACCTCCCACGTGCCGAAGGCTCGGAGCTGCCCTCGCACGCCAAGATGAAGGCGACGGAGGGAGGACCTGGGGCACGTGCCGAGTTCACGCTTGTTTTCTGCATGATCCTCCTGTCAACCCTGGCCTGCAAGGAGGGAAGGCGCATCTCGGGCGAGCCCCAAGCATCGCGGGTGGGACTCGAGCTCTTCTTGTGCTCCACCGGTGAGAAGCTCCAGGGCTTTGCCAAGGGTCCCCCAGCTCCTTCCCCAGCCCAGCGAGACGGGAAATCGCTGTAGGTCTGGGGGGCTCCATCGCAGAGGCGACGTGGGGAGGAGATGCAGCGGTGGGAGCGTGCCGGGCAGCATCGCTTCTGCGTGGGTTCCCTCTGGCTACCCGGAATCGTGAGTGACCCAGGGTGAAGGGGCAGACGAAGCAGCTCCCTCCCTACCTCGTTCCCTCCCTCCTGTGCCGAGCCTCTCAGTGGGGGATGTCGCCTTTCAAACCTGCCGTCACTAGTAGGGGAGGGAGGGAACCGACCCGCTTGTGTCCTTGCCGCTCCTTTTTTTTCCCAGCCTGAATCAACAGACAAATTATGCCCAGAAAAAATGACCAGCAACAGAAAACAGAAGTGGAGAGACAGCGCGTGGTCACCCAGTCCAGCTCCGCGCTCCAAAGCAGGATCAAATTTACAGCTCCCGCGCTGCCGCTCGCCAGGTCTCGCCTGTCTGCAAAGCTCCCCGATGCACGGGGAGGGATTGTCCGGGCCCCGGGCTGCCCGGGAGCATTCACACCCCCCGAGAGCGTGAAAGGTGTTCCGAGGAGGAAAACAAAAGCATTTTGAATAGATAAGGCTGGAGCCATGACTTTCCGCGTGTTTACATGCTGGAACATGAAATTAATTTCCTTGACACTACAGTGTCTCAGGAGTAAGTATCAATTTTTATAGCTTACATGAAAATAAATCTTTGTTCTCCTTACAGCACAATGAGTAGCATACTGTATGTACATTTGCTTCTGTTTATATACACAAATATTTAAGTACATGAACACACCGGGAACTGACAAACAGGTTCTTTTCTGCTCTACAAAGAACGGAGGGGAAGGGAGGGGGGACTTAGTGGCAGTCCGTCGGGAAAGCAGGTTGCGGTGCTGCGCGTCTCGCTGGCAGATACCTGTACGGGTGGAACGGGGAAGGACAAAGTCCCTTTCGGAGGGCTGGGACACCACGGCGAGTGTGGAGCGGGGGTCGGTAGCCATCAGGAAGGCCGGTCTCGTGAAGAGAAAAACGTGCCGCCGTTTTACGCCACATCTGTGGGATGTAGGGAGCCTCCGTTAAAATGCGGCACGGCGTAAAGCACCAGCGGGTGCCTCCGCTGCCGCGGGCAGGCAGAACATCCGTGCCCCGTTCGGTGAGCTGGCTCAGCCGCCCTCCCCGTCCCCTCGGCGCTGCCGAAACCGCCGCGGTTTCCTCTCCGGGGAAGCTCGGGGCTGTGCTTTCTTACACGGCGTGCAGTTCCCCTCCAGACAACAAAATTACGCTTTTCCAGACACCCAAGGCTGAAAATATTTTTCATGGGGGTTTCGCTTCCCCCCCCGTCTCTTGCTGCCGCCTTCTGCAGAGCCTCAGTTGATCTCTCCCTCCGTGAATTCTTCCTTTATGGACTGTTTGCGAGATTTGCAGTCCGGGAGGTCGAACCCAAAGTCTGCCCACTCGTCGGCCCCGCCGCGGTTGGGGATGGTGATGGTGTGGCGCACGCGGAAGTGCACGGCCTCCATCACGCGCTGCCGCTGCAGCTCGCCCGAGCTGCCGATGGAGATGGTGGAGGCGTTGCTGCTGGAGCGGATGAGCTGCTGGGCCCCGTAGTCGTGGCTCTGTTTGAGCTCCTGCAGACCCCTCCAGATGATCATCCTGTACTGCTCCGGGATCTTCAGTGCTCCGAGATCCTGGAAGAACAACACCGCTGAGGCACAGCCGGCAGAGACATGGAGCGAGCCCCGGACCCCCCCAGCTCGTGTTTCGGGGAGCACGTGGGCGCGATGCCCGAGCACCCGGCGGTGGCGGGGCTGGACCTCCCTGGGTCACGACCCCAAGCCCATGGGTGCATCGTCCCCGGGGGGTTTCGCATTTGTAACCAACGGCCAGGTGACCGGTCACTTGAACACAGCTCTGCAGGTTAGGAAAACTTTTTTTTTCTTATTTTTTTGGGGGTGGGCTCACATCAAGGTGATGTGAAGGTGGGAGAGGGGGACCTTTCCCCTTCGGACGCAGGATGCAGAGCAGCAGTGAAGCGTCCTCATGTCCGTTTGCCCGGGCGAGGAGCCACCAGCCAGGCTGGCCTCTCCTGCGGTCCTGGGCCAGGAGCCTGGAGCAGCACCCGCCCCGAGGCGGGCGATAGCAGGATGCTGCGGCGCTGAGGGCTCTGGTCGGAAAGGCAAACGAGGTCCAAAGCCTCAGGGCTGGGGGTCCCTGCACCAGAGCAAACACCGTCGTAGCGGAGAGCTGCCAGAGATCCACGTTAATGCCAAACACAGAGACTCACGTGAGCGTTAACTAGAGAAGACAGCGAGTATGCAATTAGTAATTACAAATGCCGACTCGGACACACAGCTCAGCGATCTGGTACAAGTTTGGGCTGTACCAAACGTTGCCTTTGACAGCTTACAGACGGTCATGGAGTTAGTGCAGAAAACGGTCCAAAACCAGGCTAAGGTTACGCAACTGGCCCCAGCTACCACTGACAAATCATCGTGTCTCCAACGGCAGCATCACCAAAGCGTGGCCACGCGTTTCGTTGTAGCTGCCGGGGGGATGACAGCAAAACTGCCGGGGGGCGAAACGGGATGGGGGCAGGAGCTTTGCCTCAGCCAAAACACCAGCTCCGGGATTTACAGGGCTTGCTAGGGGTGAAAGGGTTTGCGATTATTTTTTTTCCCCTTCTTCTCCTTACCCCGATGGGCCGGGGAAGCCCCTGCTCGGTGCCGTCACCAAGAGACCGCGCTCCAAGCGAGACCGGCAGTGGCCGAGGGCTGACGCTCGGTGCAAGCTCGGGCACTTGGAGCGTCCCCTCCACCGCTTTTTGTGCCAGCTTTTGCCTGACCTGGGCTATTTCATTCCTGAATCCAAGTGCCCCGGGCTTGGCTCCCTTATTTCAGCCTCTTTTGTCTTAAAGATTAACAGGGGAAGAGGAAAGATCAGATTTAAAACTCGCTGCAGTGCAGGGGAGGTGTTCCCGCTGGCTCAGTGGGCTCTGGGTTATTTCGCTGAGCACCGCAGCCGGTTTTTCGGCATTAGGTGGAAAATCTCCCCGCGGTCTGGTCTGGGGAATCTTTTAGTGCTTTTGTTTCCGGCAGCCTGGAAGCGCCAATTGAGACTATCTTTTGTTGTCTGAACTACCGCTAAATCCGAAGGAGCAGGAAGGATGCAGAAAGGGACGGCACAAACCCTGGGGAGCACACGTTCTGTGTGACGGGTCGGTGCCCGCTTTTCCCTTCCCTTTAAAACACTTTTGTCCTCGCTTTTCAGATCAACAGCTGACAGAAACAAGTGGTAAGAACAGATCTTCCCAAAGCATTTACCTCTATGGATAGGTTCTGCAGGTGGTAAATATTCTGTAACCCTTGTGAGGTGAAATAGTCGATGCAGTTTGGACACCCCAATCCTGTTAAAAAACTGCAGAAAAAATTTGGAAAATAAAGCGGCGTTAACTTCTCACGAATAAAAGCTGCGCTCGCAACCATCGCTGTAGCGGCAAAGTGTGTTTGGGGTAAGCATTTACCTCTATGGATAGGTTCTGCAGGTGGTAAATATTCTGTAACCCTTGTGAGGTGAAATAGTCGATGCAGTTTGGACACCCCAATCCTGTTAAAAAACTGCAGAAAAAATTTGGAAAATAAAGCGGCGTTAACTTCTCACGAATAAAAGCTGCGCTCGCAACCATCGCTGTAGCGGCAAAGTGTGTTTGGGGTCACCGAGGAGGCGGGGGGCTGCCACGGGCTCCTGCTACCTCAGCCGCGCTCCCGCACCCCAGCACTGGCGAAGGGCTGTGGGGCGGCACGAGG